TAATTGGGATGGGTGTATCAGAGACGGTGCGACTGGCACACGACAGAGCAGAGTTTAGGGCTGTTGTACATAGGGTCACTATGAGTCGCAAGCAACTCGACAGCACATAACAACAATAACGCCCACCAGTGATTCTAAATCTTGCTTACCTATAGTAAGTACTAAACAGTATAGGAACAAGTTGCTATTTTTTTAAAAAATTTTCTTTTTCTATTGATATTTTAACACCATGTTAGAGAAAACTTTATTTCACTGTTGCACATTTTCCTCCCTACCCCCAGCCAGTTTGTTTTTCTCTTTAAAAAGATTTTTTCATTGTTGCACAATACAAGCGGCTATTTTAATAGCATAAAATACTGTTTTCTATCCTTCCAGTCATTTTTGTCTTCACTTGGCTGGCTTAGAAACCATCTCTCAGATTAAATATCCCATCCATGGGAAATGTTTCATAACCTCCTTTCAAGTCCTCACCAAGCATTTCCAAAGCTGTTGATTCAACTCTGACATGCAGTATACCTACAGATCAGAGTAAAATGCCTCGAGTTTCCACGGATAGATAGTCTTTACAGATGTAAAATACCACATCTATATGCTGTGCAGCACCTGGTGCGTCTGAACCATCAACTTCTGGCTTAACAGCCAAATTTTAACTACAAACCCACTGGGTTCCTGAGGCAACTGAAACAAAATGTAAGAGGGTGGGGGATGTGGGGCAGAAAAGAAACCAAACTTCTATCAGCAAAAGAAAGGTGAATTGAACCTTCCAAACGAAATAAAGGGAACAGTCATGCTTTCCTAAAAGATATAACTTACAAAACAAAGACGTATTTCTGAGCCTTTGAAAACACCAGAAAAAGAAAGACTTGCTCACTGCTGGCAGTTCCCTTGCTTACTCAGTCAGGCCCACTAGTCCTCCGTTAGCCACCAAGAAAGAGGCTGGTGGTGTTCAAAAATCTGTGCTTGTTTAATTATAGTCCTTCTATCCTATCTTGGGATATTCTCTCATGTAACTGGCATTTCATTTTTTTTACTCATCTTTAGTTTGTAATGCAACTAGCTGCTGTGATGCTGAACACTGTCACACTGATGTGCTAAATGTGATAATGGTTAGCCATGGTGGACAGTGTTTGCTGGAGCTTCCCGATTAAAACAAGCCTGGAAGCAGGAGTGACATCCACTTCCGAAATGGCTTGCCTTGGAAAACTCTATGAACAGTGCTCAGGCCTTTAGTTCATAGGGTCTCTTTGAGTCATTTACGACTCAACGGCACCTTACAACAACAACAATGCAACTAGCAGCCATCACAAAGGAAACCCTCGGGAACATCTTTGACATCAAGAAAGCAAGGCCTATCTTGAGTCCAAAAAAGTTTTAAAAGTCAGCTCATCTGCCAATCTTCTTGAAGAATCAATGGGGTGGCAAATAGGTAGTCAGCAATCAGCATCCAGTCTCAATTGACCAAGCATGCCCAGAAAGCTAAAAACTACATTTCCCAGACTCGTTAACAGCTAGACTTGTGGATGGAAAATAGGTTCCGCCAGTTAAGATTGGCAGAAATGGGATGGAGACTATCTCTTTTGTAAACACTGCTGTGGAGAAATGGGCTTTTCTGGAACAAGTCATTTCAGTCACTAGTTCTGTGGATGCACAGAGTAATGTTGAATGGTCAAGTGGTTGCTGTTCTCTGGACTGCAGCTACCAGAGTGTGTTCTTGAAGTCAACAGCGTCAGTAGCAGCTCCTGATTCTGCAGCTTCCCAATTAAGGAAATGGCAACTCCCCTCCCTGGTGGGCCAGTTCTGCAGTGTTTTTCTGGGAGTCATTCCCAGAGGTCCAGCCAACAGCCTCTTCCTCAGCGCTTCTAATAAGCCTGTAAGCACT